GAACAGAGAAATTCCAGCTAGGTCCCCCCCCCCCATCATACGGCAGGCAGGTTACACAGAGCATACCCAGAATACAAATGGAAATTTACTGAATAGAAACCAAAGAAAGAAATTTACTGAATAGAAACCAAAAAGTTCTCTTTTCCATGGTTTTCATTACCATTATATTCATCTACCTACCTATAATCAACTGAACACACCAATTTCTCAATTTTATGTACTGTGTACATTTTACATACGACATCTACAAATTTGTATACAGTTTCTCATTCCACATGCTCCACTGATATAAGAAAATGTATTTCTATGCAACAGCTCAATTAGGTCTAAACACTGCAAGCATGCATTTTCCTCCTCCACATTCACTTGAGGATACACTATTCTCTCAATTAACGTTAATGTCTTTTTCTGTATTTCCAAAATGGAAACATCAACAGCATTTGTACAATGCACAGCACTGCTTCAATGCTCTGCCTGTAAGACTATCATTAGTATGGTATTTACACATCACAAAAAATGGTCTGAACTGATAGAATGGCCTGCTTTATCTCTTCATTACCTATGGCTTGAACTACTGTGGAACTGACAAGACTTACCAATTTTTGGATCCAAAACTAAGCCTCCAGAATATGCTGCCTTTTTTCGCCCCATCTTTGATTTATTCTGATCACCTTCAAAATCTTCATCTTCATCTAGCTATTTAAAACATGAAACAAACCAAGTTTTTTTTAAGAACCAAGCTGAAACTCTACTTACAAACCACTTATTTTTCAAAAATGAGATAAGTTTTAGACTCAGTGAATGCAATACCAGAGAGAGAGGAAAAAATGTTCATTCATGTTTAACATTTACCTCTGAACTCTTTGGTAAAAAACCCTATTTAATAGTTAGAGATTCAAAGTTAAAAAAATTCTCAGTGGCATGATATGCAAAAACATGGAGATAGAAACATGGGGCTGCCTTTGTCGCGGATCCGGAAGCTGCAGCTAGTGCAGAATGCTGCGGCCAGGCTGTTGATGGGTCTCCCTAGATGGGAGCACATCCAGCCTGTGCTGAAACACTGCACTGGCTGCCAATAGCATACCGAATCCGCGTCAAAATGCTGGTTCTTACCTTTAAATGGCCGGGGTCCAACATACCTATGGGACCGCCTTTCCCCATATATACCCCAGAGAGCACTACGGTCTGGATCTCAAAATCGGTTGACCCTCCCTGGCCCGAGGGAGGCCAGGCTAGCTGCTACTAGGGCTGGGGCCTTTTCGGTGGCGGCCCCTACCTGGTGGAACAAGCTCCCGGAGGAGATCAGGGCCCTGTGGGACCTCTCACAGTTCCGCAGGGCCTGCAAGACAGAGCTCTTTCGCCAGGCATAAAATTAGGGGCCGCCGCCACCACCCTAGTGCACAGCCCGTAATGTTAACATCGAGCAGCTGCCTTAACGAGCAGAATAACATCTAAACACTTTATGTGGAATAACATCAAAGCACTTTGTTGGAAAGCACTTTATTTGTTTTATTTTTAACTGCTGCCAGTATTCTGATATTTCGAAGTGTTCTAATTTAAATGCTGTGTTTTAATTCTGTATTATTTATGTTTTTATTCTGTACTGTTGTGTTTGTTGTTGGAAGCCGCCCTGAGCCTGCTTTGCGGGGAGGGCGGGGTATAAATTTACTATAAATAAATACAGTGCTTGGTATTTAATGCCTCTCATAAATACCACTGTATACAATTGCTAGGAGTAAGCCTTAGTAAGTGCTGTACAACCTATCGCTGAAAGAGCATGCATGCAATAGAAAGTATTTTAAGAAAACGAAATTTTTGAGAAAGCATACAAAAATTGATATATAACCTTATCACCTCTTCAAGATTATTTTATAGGCAAATAATGTGGGAGTAATATCCCTGTATGAGTAGAAGATATTTTTGCACACATTTGTGGGAGAGGATTCCTGTCTCTCTCCTCCAACAGCATCTCCTACATCCCCTAAAACCTTCTCCAAATGATTACAGGACACTCAAGAGCAGTGTGGCTTGGAGGAGGCTACAATTAGGACAAGGGGCAGGGAGAGAAAAAAATTAATAAAAGCACTTTATTTCCCACCCTCCGAGGGTTTTTTCCCCCCAGCATTCTCTCCCAGATGGCTTACTTCCCCAAGCTCACAAAACAAACTTAATGGAACCTGCTGCTGCTAGGGAAAACCTCTGCAGAAAGCCAGCCATGCAGAAATTAATCTCTTCCACATAGTTCAAGGGATAATATTTGTCTGTTTTTAAACTAGAGGTATAATTACCATGAATTACTTGGATCCTTCTATAACCTCATAAGAAATTAGTTGCTTGTTAATTTGAGGAAAAGTAGAAAGGGTCAAAACCATTGGGGAAGCTTGGAGACTATTTAAAACTACAATCCTAGAAGCTCAGAAAAAAGTATATACCGTAGGTTAAGAAAAGCACAAGTAGGTATAGAAAAAGGTCTGCATGGTTAACAAACAAAGTAATGGAAGCTATAAAAGGTAAGAAGGATTCCTTTAAGCAGTGGAAAGCTAGCATCAGTGAGGATGATAAAAGGGAACACAGACTGTGGCAAATAAAATGCAAGTCTGTGATCAGGCAGGCAAAAATGGACTATGAGAAGCATATTGCAAAAAACATAGAGACCAACAATAAAAATTTCTTCAAATACATTAGAAGCAGGAAACCAGCCAGGGAGGCAATGGGGCCCTTGGATGACCAAGGGGTAAAAGGAGTACACTGAAGGATGAAAGGGAAATGGCTGAGAAACTGAAAATACTTTTTGCCTCTGTCTTCACTGTGGAAGATGAGAAGTGCTTGCCCACTCCAGAACCGCTGATTTCGGGAGGGGTATTGAAAGAAATGTTATCTGTACTGTGATTATTTTAAATGATTTTACTTATGTTTTATATTGGCGTATGCCCTTGTAAGCTGCCCTGAGCCCGCGTAGCGGGGAGGGCGAGGTATAAATTGAATAAAATAAATAAATAAATAAATAAATAAAGACTTGAGTAGGATTGAGGTGATGAGAGAGGAGGTCCTACAACTGATAGGCAACTTAAAAACTGATAAATCACCAGGCCCGGATGGCATACATCGAAGAGTTCTAAAAGAACCCAAATGTGAACTTGTGGCTCTCCTGACAAAAATATGT